TTTTTTGGTATCATATTTTTGTAGCAATCTTTTTTTACTTAATCCATTACAGAAAGCAACTGCATAGACTCGGAAAATATAAGCATCAAATATTTTGCTTCTAGGTACATGGAGAATGTTAATTGGACTCAGCACTCATGGTTTTCCTATATCTCTTCCTCTATGACCCTCATTCTTCCTAAGGATCTCATGTTTAATCAGATGTGGAAAGCCTCTATACTAATTTCAGAAAAAAACCAACTAATTAATTGTCAACTCATGTTGTTAAATTCAGTCTTTTCTAGAGAAAATAATTTCCCACATGGAATGCAGGTGCATCAATCCAGAGCCATTTCTCGAAGAATAACATTTCCCTGAGGAAGATGGTATGCAAATAAAGCTCCAAAAATTAGTACAAGATAGTCTTCTTGGAATTTAAATTCCCTGTATTAATTATGGTTGTTATTTATTATAAATTTATTAAATATAAGTAAAATAATAGATCAATTCCTCAAAATTATTCGCAATGAGATTCCTTCACATCATGAGTATCTTTGTAAAACAGAGCAGTGAATATCTTCTATTTTTTAAATTGCGATATTCTTGTATTTGTAACTATCTGCCTTTCTGTGTATGATACTTTTCTGAAGGAACTTGAGAGGGAAGAAAAAATAGCAGAAAGGGAGGGATGGCACATAATAAAGTGGCAACTTAGTGATGAGGGTAGTTGCTTGGAGACTGTATGTGAATCTCATTTCTTTGAGGTGGTTTTGAGAATAAATGTTTCATTATTTCTCTGTTGTCTAATGTATATTCCAAAGTTACATGTAAAGAAGAGGTACCTTCTATGGACTTGTTAAAAAAAATTAATCTACAATAGCATTCTGGGAAATCCTCATGCATTGTGAGTAGAGTTTATTCCATGTATCACATTGGTGTCTTCAGATTGCTTCAGTTTTTTATCTTTGGGTTTATTAGTCCTAGACTTCACCAGAACTGAAAAAATGCTGAGGAGCATTTGAAGTTTAACTGGGTTGTACCTGGTGAATTTAAGTCCTCTCTAAATTACTCAAGAACTAAGCAAGTGTTTTCAGGACTATGACTGTGGACAGAGGTAACCAAACTTTGTCTTACACTCTTTTTTGACAGCTGAACTTCTGTTTTTTCCCTCACATCCAACCATTATATTAATGATACATGTAGGACCAAATCGCTAAATTTAGACAATATTAAGGTGGAAGCTGAAGCTGCCTGCATGGTCCAGAGAGGTCTCTGGAAAGCACATCAGGCTGCCGAAATTTGACAGTAGTTAGGTCTCTAATTGGGGTGCCCTAATACCTGTGTGGAAGCACACACTTCTCTCTGCTGACTGTAGAGGGAACCTGGGCACCAAAGGTAGGTGCTTGCAGAGGTGTGTCTGTGTTCCCCACTGTCTGCAAGCTTTCCATTCAGGAATGACAAATCCTGTGGTGTGTGTTCATCTCCTGGGCTGTTCTAAAGTATGCAGCAATCAGATCTTCCCTGTACCATCCCTGTATCTTTTCCTCTCTGTTTACTTTGGAAATAGAATTTGCATTGTGCACAAACCTTGCCCACACATGGGCTCATAATTTGCAACATTTAACATGAAACATTCATCTTTAAAGTTAATCATTAGGTTTATGTTTTAATACTAGAGATTTGTATACCTTCTCTGTATGCAAGGTTGTTTGGAAGGTTTAGTCCTTTCTCTAGGTAGTAGTAGAAAATATATTTTTCCTTAATTTATATTTTAGATAGATCTCAACAGAGTAAAACTGAGCAAAAATAAAATAAAACAAATAAGTTTTATAATATTTGAAAAGGTTAGGCTGACATTCTTTATTTAGTGTTATGGCTACAAAACCTTTCCATTATATGTATATGTCATTAATAGGACTATGGTGAAGAACCAGAGAAACAGTAATATTTTCCTTTACCACTAATTCAGGATGTACTCGCTGCATATGAATGTGGATTTGCCAGGATTTTTCTATAGATTTTTTTTCAATTTACACATATTCCTTCCTATCTTTCATATATTCTTCCTATCTTCCTGCATTTTTCTTTATGTACACAAGACTTCATGGAAATGGCTAATTCTGAGTTTCATTCCTCCAGATTTTGTTAGATTTGTGCCTTCAGGACAGCTTATTTTCTTTGGCTTCAGCAGTATTTTTCAGGTCAAAGTTAGCTTGCTTTGCTCATTCCTTGAGCCAGGCAGGGTCAGTGAAACATCTGAAGTATTTCACTGAGCTAGAGCTAACAAACCCCTTGTCCCAGCAGGATTTATTTGGTCTGAGGAGTTTTGCTCCCCACTAATGCAGCCACAGTCTTTCAGCAGTCAGCAGGAGGGAACCAGTAAAAGAATAAGCCTGTGAATCTTAAGACACTTTTGCTGAAGCTTGTGCAGCAGCACGTGAGCTAATGTAGTGTCTTTGCCCTGTGATGAGCTGTGTGAAGAGAGGGGAAAAAACCATCTAGACACAGATCTGAGCAAGTGGCTATAGGTGGCCCTTCTTCAGTGGGGAGGTTGGCCTTTGAAATTCTCCTCCAATCTCAACCATTATGGGATTCTGTGAATTTCGTGCCAGTGGCTATGGCTTTCATAGCATGAAAATCTGTTTTCTTGATAGGTCAAGTGTAGTAGTAAAAAAATTGGCTTAATTGGTGGCTTAATTATTTTCTATGGAAATGAATTATTCCTGAATGCCTATATCTTGACCTTTGCTTTGAGCTACAGCAGTTTGTACTTGGGGCAAAAAGAAATTTACATTTAGCATCAGGAATAACAGCCTCAAATAAAATGGAGAAATACGTTTTAATGATACTTCAAATAATTAATATCATGCACTTGTTTCTCTTTGCTGCTATTAGTTCTTTCATAATTGCTAAAAAGCCATCTGAAAAACCTCCAGGATCCCAGTTATCTCTAGATAACTGATGGAACATAAAATTATTTGAATGAAATCTGTCATATCCAATTAATTGGAAATGACTAATGAACAATGTATCACAACAGAAAAAAACATTCGAAGGCTCTGCCAGATATTTAGTTAGAAGAGACACTTTACACAAAACTTCTTGGAGAGATGAAAATTTGGCCACATTCTCATACAATCTTGCCAGTCTGCACAGTTCTAAATAGACCTAGATGTGACATCTTTGGTGTGTAGAGCAAAAAGTTCTCTCAGTCACCAAGAACAAGCAAGGATCTTCTGTATTTTAGGCAGCCACACAGAATGGTTTCATGAAGGGGAGGTGAAACCTCTCATATTCAGAAGGGATAAGAAAGACTTGTGCTACTTTTCTGCAGATTCATGAGAGCATCTGGTGGAAAAGGAGCTAAGAAATGAGAAAACTATCCAGGGAAGTGGAGGGGTTGAAGGAGCAGTGAGCTACAGTGGGTTATACAGGTGTAAGTTGTCTTCCTGCCACACGCTTGCAGAACACTTTGGGTGATATTCAGATGTAAATTCAGACAGTTAAATGCAGGGGTTTAGACCACAGAAACACAGAACCAAATAATATGTCAAGTTGGAAGGGATTCACAAAGATCATTGAGCACAGCTCCTGGCCCTGCACAGCACCATCCCCAAGAGTCACCGTGTGCCCAAATGCTTCTTGAGCTCTGTCAGGCTGGTTCTGTGACCATTTCCCTGAGACCCTGGTCCAGCACCCAACCATCCTCTGGAGGAAGAACCCTTTCCTAATATCCAACCTAAAGCTCCCCTGACACAACTTCAGCCCATTCCCTTGGGTCCTGTCATTGTTTCACATATAAACTTCTCATTCACTTGCAGTGGCAGATGAATTTAATCCTTACTGTATCTCCAGACTGCACCAGTGTGTCACAGATACTTACATTCAACTCCAAACTTGGAACTGAACCCTTGCCCTTTGTCTCTGGGATGCAAGTGTCCCCCATGCTGGGAGAGGACAGCTGTATTCTAGTGGTGCTAAGGACTGTCCTTATGCATCAGAGATCTGTTGGTCATTTCTGCAGTAGCCACACGTGTAACCTGACATGGGGAGCCCAGTGCTGTCTGCAAGAGTCAATGGCAACATCCTGTGAAGAGCCAACTGCCTCAGCTTCTCTGCTTCTGTCAATCTCATCTTTCTGAAATGAAGCAGGAGTTGAGGAAGGACCAAAGTATATGCACCAGTAATGACCAAGACAATACAGAAGTGACTTTGGGATTAAATTATGTGAGCAAACACATAAATTATTTCAGCACATTTTATCCAATTCTTGAGAGGCTTCACCACCTCACTCTGAATTCATTCGGTAAAATAGTTTTATTCGTTTTGTTTTCTAAAACAGAGCAAAAGCCACTTCACTTATTACAGCAGGGAAGAAATCTAATACAACTTTGATTTCTTCATCTTCTTCCTTTGGGCTGCTAACTGTGCCTGTACCAAGGAAGGGAGGGTCCATGAGACTTGCTGCTCCTTGTTTGAGGTCAGGGCTGGAGCAAGGCACTTGTCCCTTTGATGTGTTTGTTACTTGGCAGGTTTCTTTATGCTAGCATCTTGAATTTCTCTTGGTGCCACATATTGGGACAACTCTTAAGCAGCTTGTTATTAAAAGGATAGAGGATTATTTACATAGCAGTTTTTTTTTTTTTTTTTAATGAGCTCTGTGTTATACCACATCAATTCTCAAAATATGCTCACAGGCATTAAAATGCAAAGTGCACTTGTCAGATATAGTTTTCCTTCCATTATTACTGAATCTAAAGATAAAAAATTTATTTGCTTTGTTGGAAAAGATTTGGGACAACTAAAATATTAACTTCTCATACTATGATCATATAACAGAGCTACATTATAGGTTTAAAGTGTGAATGTGAAGATGAGTTCATCTGATACTGAGAGGAGTATTTTTCTGTAGATTATAAAATATTTGAATGTGGGTACAGCATGTGTTTCAATATGTGGTTAATTGGGTAGAAAAAATGTCAAATAGCAAACAATCATAACTTGTTGCAGTTTTCACTCACTGTGCCTGGATGATGCCCAAACTGATGCACAGCTCTGTATGAGCAGAGGCTGGAAATCCATCACAACACCGAAGACCTCATATCTATCAGCCTTTGGGGCAGTTCCTGCAAGGAGAGGTGAATAGTGAGCTCATTCCATCTTTTGGGAAAGCCGAGGACAATCTGTGTGAAAGCAGTTTAATAAAATGCTTCATTTTTTTTTTTCCTGTGCCCCAGTTTCTCATTAAGGCTTTTGCAGGGAGGGAATCTCCTTTTTTTTTCCTCAAAGATTAAATATTTACTTTAAGAAGTGTTGCTATGCTGCTTCAGAAAGGTCATAGTTGTCACTGTTGACCTCTTCAGGAGTTAATTCCAGGTGAAGTAACTCATGCCATGACCAGCCCTGGTGCTGTACAGAAAGAGCACAGGGTGGCAGCTTCACCACCCCTGACTGGGCAGGTCCTGAGCCAAACTGCACAGAGGTATCACTTCAGAAATACCCTAATTCAGTGTTCATCTATTTTTTAATTTGTAAAATAAAAAATAATGGTGTTCTTTTTCTCTTCTAGAAAAGATTATTTGGAAAAGACCTGTAATTTGGTGGAAAATTTTCAACTGTCTTTGTTCAAACCCTCATGACATCAGGCCTGAATTATTTACAGTACTATCTTTGTAGTGCTTTCTGAGCAACCAGATTTACTAAATTGCTGTATTTTTAGGTGCTTAATAGCAGGTTACTAGTGACTCAACATCTCTGTGAATTATGTAAGTAAGCCTAACACAAATTAATCCTGAAACTCCATCTCATTGCCCACCTGTTTCTGGTCTTTCACAGACTATATCTTGTTCCTTGCAAGTCCTTGTTCTTTGGTGTCATTATGTACAATGTTTGACTGCATCTCTAACTAATCTTGCCTTGTCTCAGGTGCTGACTTTATGCTAACCTGATGATATGAACCAGGTGAGAACTAATAAAGATTCCATTCTTATGTTTTTAAAACAGCATACAATAGGTAGTGCAGGTTGCACACAAAACATTACAGCATTGCTGTCTATCAATGGAAAAAACATCTGGTCTAGTGAAAAATTAAAAATTGAATCAATACAACAGCATATTTATTCTTGCTTTTTCTTATATTTTATGTAAAAAGTAAACTTATTATGGAATTGCTAAACTTATTATGGAATTTGAATATCAAAGGAGGGAGAGAAATGAAGATGTAAAGAAGAGGGGAGGATGGTTTTTTTGAGAAGTGAGCTAACAAATCAATGAACCTGTGGGACAAGGAAGGTAGCTCCAAATGTCAGGTGCTGCACTGACCTGTTTGACTGATGAATTGCAGCACAGAGAACATTCTGACACAGGGCATGTAACAATATGCCAGTGCAAGAAAGGTTGCAGAAATGTCACCTGTCAACAACTCGCAGTACACACCTTTACTGCTGGAGTCACCCGGTATCATGACCTTTCTGCATGCAAAGTTAGCACTGTGATGAGAACACACACTTCACATATGTGTTATGGCTAACATTCACCTCTGAAAACATTATTTTATCAGCACAAGTACAGTGACAAAATTGCACAACAAAAGATCATGAAGTGTCTGAGCAAGTTTAGGGAGTGTGATATGGCAGTAAAAATAATGGTTTTGTTGTTCATGTATTCTTCAAAATTTAAGAAAACTATTACTTTAGGCATTTGGCTCCACTGAAAGGACCTCTTTATTTTTTAAAATAATGTTTTGATAATCTCAGCATTGTATGGCATTTCAAGTTTGGAGCATTTCACCTGAGTGAAGCTGGAGCTTGTTCAGGTGTGACACAGCCTGAGGAGAGGGGACAGGTAACCCCCTACCCTGCCCAGGATACCCTGAGGCAGGTATCATGTGTGGTACACACAGCTCCAGGAGCCCATCTGCACAGGTATCCTCTGGTCACCAGCACAATCACAAAGTTATTTTGAGAAATTGCTTAGGTTTCACCAGGAAAAGTCTCAGAAGTCTCACTGGAAAGCTGGTGCCAACTTTTCCAGTTAGTTTTTCCATGTAGGTGGAGCAGAAAGTCAATAATAATCAGTTAGTAGGGAAAAAAACCAAACCCAAACCCTGATAGTTAAACACATTGATTGTTTTTATTTATCTGTGCAATGATCATAGGACCTGTTGGGCATTTTTGTGAACAGAGAAGCCTCTCTGGTTGAGAGTGAAGAGCGTAAGAGTCTTCTGCTTACTTTACCCTCCTCTCCCATCTTATAGTAGTTGTAGCAGGGGAAAAAGAAAAGTAAAGCTGTTGGCATCCTCCCGGCAGTAATCCCTCAGGCAGCACGAGTAGGAGCTGTGTGGGGAGATGCCAGGGGGACAAGGGGGACATGGGGGACATAGAGTAAGCTGATGGGCAGCTCTGTGCCATGAAAAGCAGAGGCTTAGCCCAAGAAATTTCTTCTTTACAGGTGATGGTCTTAAAAGAACCATGGATTTTATTTTTCTGCTTTACATTGAATACCCAGCTAGGGAAAGGGAGGAAATATTTACATTCTATCCTGCTTTATTCATGGATGAAAAGTGTCCAGTAACCAAGCTGAAGCAAAATGCCTTCACAGCTCAGTGGCCTTTTCTGCTTTGTTTGCAGTTTCTCCCATGTGTCTGCAGGTAGTGATGAACAATTCAGCCTCATGACACCAGGTGTGGGAGGCACCCACAGCTATTACATGGGAACATGCACAAAATTTGATTAAAGGGACAAAGATTTCCTGACTGATGTAAGACATGCAGACAAGACATCTGAAAAGGCCAGCAGCTCTCCTCTTTGCCCACAGCAGTTTTTAAACTGCCACCAACTCATTCTCTCAGACAGCTGTTTATGATATTCTTTAGACCCCTGTCTAGGCAGAGCTCCTGAAAAGTAATAAAGTGGAGAGTGTCGATATCTTTAGGGACCATGGTGTTATTACTTACAGAGCTGCATAAGCTGGCAATGTAAGGAGAGCTTTGCACTGCAGGTACCTCTGCAGAGCACTTTGAGCACAGCCATGAGCATAAATCACACAGCCTCAAGAATACTCCTGGGAAGCATAACTCAGAAAATAGGTGACATTATATGTAAGAGTAGTTTCTGTGAGTTCCTTCTTGCTTTCAGGGGGTAATGCTATACTTGTGCAGCAGAAAAATCTCTAAACAACAATTCCAGTCAAATGTACTAAATTGCTCTTGACCAGCCTATCCTTACTTGCTGCCTTAGGGGTCTGTTTCTGGCAAGGTGTAACACGGATAGAACAAAGATCCAGGTAATACAATTGCAGGTGTAAGCAGCATGGTTGTTTCCTTGTGCAGGCAAAGCAACAGAGGAATTAGGTTTCATTCTGATATACTAAAGCTTTCTCAGGAGAGGAAAGTAGCCACACATCTGATGACAAATCCACAAAATATTTTACCTTCCTTTTTTTCCTCTCTGAATCTCAGAAAAACAAGCTTACTTTGAGGTGGAATTTGCACCTTTGAATAAAGAACAAAACCCCAAATTATTTTTGTCTTTCCATTTTCATTTAGCTAGAACAAAAACAGATCTTTGTCCATCCTTGCTGTTCATTTCTATTCTTTCCATCTCCACCTATCTCTGCTTAAGTTTTACTTCCTAATTTAAAATAGAAATTTTATTCAGAATGTGATAGTAAGTATGGGGAGGAAGTACAGCACCTCATCAAATTTGGTACCACTAGAAACTGAACACAAAGAGTAAAAAGTCAAATTATATTCTATTTCATTTTATCAGAGTAAAAAAATATAAATAATCTCCAAAGGATTGTTCTATAAGAATAGACATGCTGTTAGTGCATAATTTGAGAGAACATGTGAATTTTGTTAAGTACCCTGTTTTGACAGAATATATTGCTTCTAATAGGTGTGAAGAGGAGCATTTTGCATGAAGATCAAGTAGTAACTAAGAAATAGATGTACACTACTTGGGCTACTGCTGGGTACTAATACTACTGCCTAGATGCTACTCTGATCTTTCAAACCTGGAGGACAATAAAGTGGTACTGAAAGTCCAGCGCTGCAATCAGGTGAAGGTTTGCTAAGAGCACATTCCCTTTTAAACATGATACTGCAAACTTTGACAATCTTTGGAAGAAAAGGCAGCATGAGACAGCTACAGCCAGCAAAGTGAAAGGAAACACACAGAAAAGATTTATATATTGAGTAAATTTTGCCAAGAATCACTGAGAAAAGAGCAGGGGTCTGTCTCCTAGTCTTTGTAATTAATTTTTATTTGTGAAGATTTATCCAATCTACAATATTGAAACTGCAGTGTTAATGACATACTTGAAAATACCTACACTCAAACTAATATTTAAGGGCTTGAATCCTAACTCTTCTAAGTAGTTAAGTTATTGAAAGTCATAGTACAGAAAAACTCTAAGCATATTGAAAATCAGTGCCCATCTTTTAATTTGACTATTCATAAATTTATCTGGGAAATATTGAGTTTTCAGGCAATATTTAGCCCAACCTGGGTGAAGGCTGAAGGCAGGGATTTATCCACTGATGCAGCAAAAAGGGTAGACAGGAAGGAAAGTAATCTTGGATGAACACTGGTGTTTGGATACCTGATCACCTGCTGGGTTTCCACAGCATTACATTTGTTTCTTGCTGTCTGCTGTACAAGAGCAGAGTTCCTGCCAATCCACACGGGAGCTGCTGCTTGCCAGGACCTGCACCAGGTCACCTTCCTTTGCTTAAAGCTCCTGGCATTCCTCTACCTGCTCCCTGTCTGACTCCTTTCTTCTGGGAGAAGGCTGGAGGCCTGGGATATCTATTTAGAAAATGCTGCTAATTCTTGTGAACTCATCTGAATATTACTGACCAGGGCTATGAAATTTCCAAGGGCTATTCCCAGAGACAGTTAAGGGCATCAAAATTCCTTTCTCTAAGCAAGAATTGGCCCCCACATTGTATGATATATTAACTCAAATTGAAACTTTTTTAATGGACAAAGGGAGACCAGAAGGGGTTGTGGGGAACATATTGATTTTTCTGATCAGAAAGCAAAGAAGAACCTTGTGAAAGGAAAGAAGAAATTTTGTAAGAGTGTTTTCCTGTATTCTCGTAGAGCTCCATGTTTGGTACTGGGGGAAACCACCACTCTCTTTGATTTTTTTCTTACAGTTACCACATATGTGAAAAAAAGATGATGACAGACATCTGAAGTGAGAAGAGCACAGTTCCTATAATTAGTATTTGTGAAAACATCACTCTGGTGTCCTTGATAAAGGGAGTCTTCTGCCCCAGCCATATATTAGTATCTAAAACCTCACAGAGCTAACAACTCATTTCTTTGCTACTACAGTTTGAGACCAAAAAAACAGTATTATTTTTGCAACTCAAAGATTAGCTGGTGGCTACTGGAGCTTTTCTACACCTTTTAGCAGAACTAATGTTTTTTGATTGATGCTCATTCTGAATGCAGGCAAATGATCTGGCAGAGGGCAAAATTATCCAGTGACCTAATGTCCTGTCACTGATACACAAATAATTATGTGAGCACTGATCCACATAACATCCTCAATGTGAATTTGAATGCCCATCTGTTCAGTCCAGATTAATTGTGACACTGATAGCTCCACATTATGAAACTGATATTTTTTTGAAGCCTTCCATGAAAAGCAAACCCCCCCTTTCAATCCCTCCCCCAATTCCAAATAAAACAAAATCTCAACCCCAAACCAAATCAAACAAATATGTCTTAAAAACAAAACAAAACAAAACAAAACAAAACAAAACAAAACAAAACAAAACAAAACACTCCACCAGGTCCATAAATGCAAATATTCTCTTCACTGCCAGATTAAGCACTCCAGGACCCAACAGAATTGGTCATAGCATAAAACCTGCTTAGAAGTTAGAAAGAGGATATTACTCTTCAACCAACCTTTTGAGACTAAGCAAGATTTAAAGCAATACTGAAAGGTTGAATTCATCTTGTCTAACATTAGATATCAAAAATATGGATGTCTGTATCTGACCTAATCACCCTTTGAGGGAACGATTCCTTTGGCATATTTTGGATGTTTACTTTAAGACAAGACATATTTGCACCAGAATTTGTTTATTTCTCTAAGGGACCCTAAGAGACCTTAGTGGCTGAGATCTGCTATGGATGCTATAATGTAGATGTCTATATTTGGTGAGATAAATTTCACCCTCAAATAATTTGCGGGTAAATTGATTAATTTTGCATGTCACATATTCTTTAACTGCATTTTGTCTTTGTTGACATCTTATTCTTATATATTTTGATCCTTTTATATTTTGACAATTTCTCACTAATTACTCAATTACAAGTTTTCTAGCTCTGTCCTTCTATTCAGCCAGAGAAAATACCCCAAAAGTTAGCATTATTAAACCTTTGTAAATGCTCCCACTCACAGTTTATGTCACAAGATCATTTTTAGGGTCTCCACTAGAAATTATCTCCCAGATCTTAGAAATGTACTCTCAAATACAAGTTTAGTTTTCTGATATTTTGCAGTGTAGCTATTAATTTTGAGTAATGAACTTTTGAAATAGTGCCATTAATTTTTGCATGTGTGTAAATATATATGTAGTTGGTCCAAAATAGCCGAAAGCACATCATTTCTTGCACAGTTACACGGATTTTCATGGTGTAGTCAGATTCATCACACTGTTCATAAAATAATTCCATTTGCTGAAAAGTGATATCATTTTGAAAATAGCTGGAAATCTTAGCACATATCTTGTTTTTAGCCTAAAATACTGGAACAGATCTCAGTTTGACTTTCATAGTTTGTGTAGAACATATGGCCTCATGACGTTGCCTGTCATGTTGCCTCTGCTTTTCCTTTAGACATCTATATTCTTTGACAGGGGGAAATAACAGCAAATCTATATCCAAAATTAGATTATTTCACAGATAAAGAACTGCATACTAACATATTTTTTTTCCACAATCAGGCACTAGAAAGACAGTTTATGGCCATACTTTTTTCAGAAATCTTGATCAGAAACCTGCAATGTTAAAAGATAAATGTGTACTTCCTTTTGAGTGTATTTTTCATATTTGTATTCTGTGATATGCTGGATCTATGCTTTTCTCTTGTCTGTGATTTCTTTTTTTCTGAATATTTTCAGACACTTTTGCTAGATAAAAAATGAGTATACATAATAAATATATTTGATTTAGTGAAGGTGCTTCTTAACAACCATTGAGATTAGCTGTCTACTATTTAAAATTGTTTACAATAAAGTGAATCAATTGTTGATAAAAGAGATTACACTAGAAAAATTAAAGTAGGTAAGGTATTTTTTAATGATATTTTCTGGAAAAAACCCACTATAAACAAAGGAGATTATGAAGACAATTTTTTTCAATATTTATGAATCCAATAAATACAAAAAAACCTACTAATGATTGACAAAAAATGTTGTCATGCTCTTTCTTAACCAATTTCTATAGTAATAATTTATTATTATAAAAAATCCTAGTTCTTAATTTCTTATGGAAATGAAGATTCACATTAAATAGTGGTTCCTTTTCTGTCTTTGAAAGATTATCCAATTTACATATAGATAGAGCTCAGCACTTCAGCAGGAAATCTGATTGTGGAATACAAATGAAATGGCAATTTCAGAAAATTAAATAGGAAGAAAAAAGGCAAGCAGTTAGTGTTGTCATATTTCAGCTGAAAAAAGGTGAGAATGTAAGAACTGTTTTTAAAAGAATGAAAAGTAATGCTAAAAAGAATTGACACAATATTTTTTAAAATCACTCCTTATTGATACCACTTGGGATAAGGAAGGAAATCCCTTTCTCTAAGCAAAATGTTTAAGTCACAATATTATTTAGTCTTGAAATTTATATTTTAAAATGTAAACAAAATTACTGATTAGAAGATTTTTATTCACAACAAATTTGATGAGGAAAATGTTCATTTCAGTAAATTAGACTCTTTATGTAGGGTGAAAAACAATTCAGTTGCTAATAAAATCCAGCAATATCTTTTCAGATACACAAACACCTAGTGTAGTGCAACTATTAAGTCAAAAATATCTGCAAGTTAAAAGCAGTGTAAAAAATGTAAGATATTGCTTATAGGTGTTGCTATAATTAATTTTTGACATTTCCAATAAAAATAGTGACTTTTTATTGTGATTATTATTTCAACTTGAAAAATTAAAGTTTTATGGAATAACCTACAGTCATCTTGTGTCGTGAGCTGATAATTTTTATTATGCTGTGAAGTTTGTCAGAAAATGCAAGGCTGAAATGATCATATAGAGGGGTAAAAAGGTCAAAAGCAAAATCTACCTTGCTCAAGAGCCTTTCTGTATGGCTTTGGCAATGGGTCTGCCAGCCCTGCACAAGATATCAGATCAGTTAGACAGCAATGCAAGCATTATGTTTACTTATTTTTCATGAAATAACTTTCATTAAAAAAAAGATTGAACTCCTAAAGTAAGAACTGTATTTTGGTTTCAATTAAATATGTCACTAAAGAAATAGTAACAAAAACCCCCCCCATATTTTACCTAAATTAGATCTGCTTCACTCAGTTATAGTTCAAACCAGATTAGTTTTATTATTTCTTACTTTCAGAAGAATTTAAACAATTATTTTTTAATCAATACTTGGGGGAATGCCCCCTTTTAAAACAATGAGTGTTCGTGGTTTTGTGGTGGCATGAATAGCTTAGCAAAATCTGACAAATTCAATTATTACTGCTGAATGATTTACTAATATTGCTTCCTTCTGTGTGTAGGAGTTTATGAATAACCAAGTTGATGGAGAGCTAAAATACAATATAAAATAAAATCATATAATGGAAACCAATCAAATGAATGAGAATGACGATAATAAAAGAGATATTTAAAAATATCCCTGCCTACTCAGAAAACATTAATCCAAGGAACTATTTCACAAACTGTAGTTGTGATGGAAAGGACACAGTTACCTAAAGTGTTAAGCTGTATTGCTCCTTTAGGCAATATTGTCATACAGTAATATATTTAATATCAGTTTTTATATTTTAAAATGTGTCAGATTTTCTTCATCTCATGAAGCTAGGTAAACAAGACCCAACTCTTTGTCATTGCTGTTTTAAAATGCAGGATTTTTGCCAGGAAACACAAAGTTGTATATCTAAAACTGTGTCCTTGACCCTTCTAGAAAACTCTTCACCTATTGAAGTTGCTTGTGAATACTTAATCTGACACATCTGTAGGGCAAGAGATGTCATCTGTACTCACTGACGTCCTGGGGAAGCTAAAGAGGAGGCCTCTAGTCCTTAAGTATGGTACTTATCATAGTGTATCAACCAGCCAGATCATCCTGCAAAAGACAAATTGTAATAATTTTTTTTATTTGAATCTACAGAGAGATGACAACTTGGATTATCTACTTGAGTTATATTGTTTACAAAACTATCAAGCTGCAAGTGCAATCACTGCTTGCTTTCTATACCTTTCGGCTTGACAAGAGAAAACTGCTTTAACCAGGAGATAAAAATGATAGTGTTTGGTATTGCTGATCACAACTTTTCCAATCAAATGAATTTCAGGCAGAAAAATCCTACTTCTCTGGATCCCTATACATAGCAGGAGAAGGTGGAAAAGTGAGGGAGAGACAACTGAAGAAGAGCAGTTTAGGGACCACCTAGAGAAGCTGTTTGCATTGAAATCTGCAAGGTTGTTGGGGATTTCCCAAAACCTGCAGAGAGCACTGCCATGAGTGAGCCACCTTTGATTATGATCTCTGCCATATTAGACTGATGGAGCCCCTTGAGGGCTGTGACATGAACAAAGGAAGACCGTGCTCTAGTTTTGACATTTGGCACACCCCACTGTGTTCACTTGCTGAGGAGCTTGATGGATTGATAGATGGGTTAAAAATTGTCTAAACAACTGGGCTCAAAAGATATTAACCCGTGACTTGACACCTCTTTGGAAGCTGTTGACAAGAGCAGCATCCCGTAGTTTGTACTGAGGTTGATGTTGTTCAACAGCTTCATAAATAGTCTGTATGATGAGGCAGACTATCCCTCAGTAGACTACAGAGGGTGAATTTCACACCAGAGGGTAGAGCTTCAAATTGGAGATTGCTTGAGAAACCTCAGGAATGAGTTCAAGAGGAATGAATATGAAGTTCTTAATGTGTGAGGAAAAGCTGAGAAGATACTCTGTTAAACAAAAGGAAATCATATATGGAAATCTATGTCCACTTTCTGGTCACCACAGCACAGTGACTGAGAGAAAAAGGGAGGAGTCCAGAATGTGAGGTTCTCCTGGTAGGTGAAGTCTAGACCTACCAGGCTTGGGGAGCTGCCCATGTCTAGTCAGGTGAAGATGAGGTGAAGGAGAGAACTATTATCAGCCAGCTTGAAGGGTGCTCACTTCTGGGTAGAGGCAGATCACACAGCGTCTATTTAGTCTAGTTTGCTTAAAACATGTGAACTCTTGAACCTGCCACTGGATCCCTTCAGATAAAAATGTTTCAGTGAGTATTCCAGCTGCTCCAGTTTTCCTTTCATTTGGCTAAGATTGCTCTCTTGAGAGGAGTTAGCATTAAATCAAAATTTTAAGTGAAAATATGATATGCATTATAACAATGATAGTAATTTCACAATGAGAGTAAATAACCATTTGTACATATTCTCATAAGACATATATTTGATTGGAAGTCTTTATAATTCATTACCTCTCTATAAAGAAATTCTGTAGTTTAATTAGGAGCAGAAGACCAAATTCAAAGATTGCACAGCCGAGGTCTATGATATTTTTCTATAGTCATGTTAAATGATGACTGTCATTCCCTCTGGCCCAAAAATGGAAAATCAATTCAGCTTTAGAAAAAGTCCTTTTTCAGCACAGCCATTGCACAAAGTAATCTTAAAATGCAGGCATAAGGCTCTGAACATAAGCAAATAAGCAGCGTATATAGAAAATCAGCATTTTTATGCTATCAAGTTTCAAAATTTTTTACAGTGTTTGTCTGAGGTTCAATGTGCAGTGCTCCATAGTCTTCTGGGAAATTAAAGACTTTATTAGAAAATGAAGAATATGAAAAAATAATTGCAGACTTTGATAAAAAATTGTTTAGAAGAGAGAGTAAGTATTATTAGGTAAAGCAAGACAAACAAGAAAAAAAACAAAAACTAACAATTGAAGAATGTGACAGATCAAAACCACCTATTTCCCTTGTGGCTACTCTTCCAGTGTTTTGTGGAATCATGAAGAATAGTTATCCAAAGTTTATTTGCTTCAGCCTGGAGAAAGGGAAGAAATGCTGTCAAATTAGATATAATAAATATCTGGAAATAAACAGTGTCAAAATCTGTATAGATTGGAAAAAGCACATTGATTGTTTCCTTAAACATGCTGCTCAGTGTAAACAGTCTGGCTACGCAAAAATGTCATGATGTCTGGCAGGGTCATGAACAATGTAAGTCCCCAGAAAAAATCCCTGATGTCCTACCCCAAAGGGTTCTTTGAATCCAACTAAAATGACACATGAGTGCAGGAGCATTTCTGGGGGCATTCATAATATGCTGCCCCTGGGGCAGATAAGGGCATTTAAGTGAAAGGGTGTTCTGAGAACACAAGAGCGTTAATTCTGCCCAGAGCAAACACCTAGCTATGAGAATGACTAATTATGACATAAATATCTGAAAAATACAAAATTCTCCTAAAATTGTTTTCCAGAAAATGCAGTCCTGTGATGTATCCTGTGAGTACAAACACTAGGCAAAGTTGGACAAATATCACTTTTAGAGATAGATACTCTGCTTTCTGAGCAACACATTTGACAGGCACAGAAGGGTGCTGAGAAATATTTCCTTTTTTTCAGTGTCTGACTGCAATTTTAGAGAACATAGGTGGAAAGTGGCAATTACCATAAAAATGACACAGTTCCTTTCCCTCTCCCATTCCAGGAAACCACTGCCTTTTTTTCCTGTTTTGTTTTGCTTTGCTTTGTTTATTTGTTATAGAGATGACCCAAGGCACTACACGAGGGGCACAGGATTGATTGACAGAAAACTTTCATACTGATACTTTCTCAAGACTTCAAGATTTGGGACTCTTCCACATTTCTTGTGTTCCAGTTAAGAAATATAGGTCTTTTTTATAAGGTGTTGATTAGAAAAGTCCATCCAAATCTACATCTACTTGTCATTTTTGTATTATAAATACTGTAAGCATTACAAACAAGATTTATAGACCTTCTCTGACTTGACTCATCACCTTAATTTCTTGCACAACTCTCCTCTCCCCTCCCCAGAGCCTTTTAATCATAGTTAGTGTGGCACCTAACAAAAGGTGAATAAATTCAAAGGGTCGTTAGAGTCTGCAAAAGGTAGCAACTAATGCCAGAAAGGCTACAAACTGTGGCTTATTTTACTCAAAATGAGAATTTGCAGTGGCTCCCTTCATTGATATGACCTCCTAAGAATCCACGATATGACCTCATTTCTGTCCTTTCCATTGCTTTTGTGATTCTGCTAAAAGGCGTGAGGAAAGGTTGAGGGAGTTGGAGATATTCATCCTGGAGAATCAAAGGCTCCAGGGAGATCTTATTGAGTCCTTTCAATATGTAAAAGGGTCTATAATAATGGTGGAAGAAAAACCTTTAGGAGGTCCTATTGCTACTGATCAAGGAGTAAAGGTTTTATGAAAAGTATAAATCAGGTGTGTTCATAAAAAATGGTGGTGTTTTATTAATCCATGGTTTTTGCAATATATTTGTAGTTTTACTATCAACTCCTTGCAAAAGGATGGAGGGCTAGGTTAATGACAGACCTTGAGGATTTCTATTTTTTAACACCTACAGTTTATAGGTTAATGACAGAAATTAAGGATTTCTAGCTTCTGATACCTACAGTTTTTCAGTTTTTTTTCAAAGTCACACCAAGACACTGATTCCCTCTCTTGGTTAAATGTATTCTTGTTAGAACTCACATTCCTTGAAAGAACTGATTTCAGAAAGATGAACATCTTGTAAGAAGAATACATAATTTCAATTCTTGGCATATTTCCTACTTTTCTAAGCATATATGTTTCTATGATTCTATAAGACACCCTAGGTATCAATATAGATATAAATGTATCTAAGAAGCCTTAGTACATTTTGAGTACATATTTTTCATAATAAGTGCTGTGTTTCTCTTAAATTAACATTTTAATTCCTGAATGATCAAAGAACAGTCCTGGAAAACAAAATTGTGGAATATTTCTATGATTCTATAACATTGCTATATAGCATTATTACTTTTCATATACAGCCATCCACTAGTTGACTGATTTTAATTCATAGTCCATTATATTTTGCTTAACTTTTTATTGTTACATTTTCAAGGGCTTTATTCAAGGTGAATTTGTTGATTTGTTGCCCTTGTCTTTATTTCATTGACTATCTCTCTGCAAAACACTTCAAGAGCACAAATCAAAAGCTTATAAAGAACTTCCCACAGCACTTAAACCTTCTGTTCAATGGGTATTTTCTTTCCATTTTAAAATGAGACAATAATGAATAGTTCATTGACTGAATAAGAGAATTTTGTGCTTACTGGAATAAGCATTTGACTAGTTCTGAAGTTATATAATCTAAAACCCCTCTTCCTGAAATGAAGACATAATAGTAGTTTAATATTCACTGCAGTGCAATGGACATCTATAAAAAGGCATTAACTTCCCTGGGCTCAGTTAGCCTCACAAAGTGCTCCCAGTAACAACTCTTTCCTAAGAGGCTCAGTTATCAGTCAGGGCACATTGGAAATTTTACAGATTGCAACTTGGTTGAAGGGCAGACTCAGCACAGGACTGCCAAGCAATAGTGATCAGAAATTAACTATCAGGCCTTCATTACATAATGGTTACTCCTTTTGGATCTTGAACCCAAGGGAAGAGAATATTTACATTTTCTCCATGGTCACAATAGATAATAAATTATCTATGTCACATATCTCTCTCTTGTGATTTTCTGGGGGTTTCCTTGTTTGGTTATTTTTTGTGCAAACTTGACCCAATAAATTTGAACTGGAAAGAAAGTACCAGCTACCCTAAAATCATGATTAAACTTTGACTGTTGAAAGTAATAGTCCAAGGATTAAGAAGCTTTTCTACCAGGAGTTGATAAAGTCAGAAAGAGATTGCAAATGTCCCCAGCATTTATGCCAACTATGACAAGTAGAGTAGAAGGAAGTCAGATTGATGGAGAAATGTGTAAAAATATACAATAGCTCTTTCCTACACATAGAATCACAGAATAATTAAGATTGGAAAATACCTCCAAGATCATTGAGTCCAACCATTGGCTGAACACCACTACCCCAACTA